TTGTTTACTTCACTATTGTTATTATCAAAAGGTCAGGTTGACTTTAATCGGTATCGTTGACTAATAGGATAGACCTGAAATTCAATATTTTTTCGAGTCTCATGTTTCAAAGGACCCCCGTATCATTTTCATGTCGCATTCTACCATATCGACTTAGATAGGTTCTGCACCGCATTTATTGAATTTATTGAATTTTAACTAATAATTTGTAACAATCGATTTGAGCAAAATGTATTTGAGACAAATGACGTGAATTGAATGGGATAATTAATTTAACTGTTTGATCGTAATAAAAACATTACAGAAACATATGGCCATAATTGTGATTATATTTTTATATTTATATAATATAATAAAATGATCAAAACTGGCAGATTTTTAAAAATATCCTGTGCAAACCTTTCGTTTCTATATATTATACTATTAAAAATTTCATTATTAATATAAAATTAGAATTAAAATCTCAGGTATAGATGTCCGCTGTGTGTAAAAAGATCAGAATTTATTTTGACATTTGTGATAACTGAATAGACACTTTATTAATATTATAAGGTGTTGATTAATTCTAAACTGATTCTACCACGTTCCACATCTACTGAAAGTACTTTCACCTCTACACGCTGACCTATAGAAACTGATGAATCTTTTAACCATTTCGTTGGTATAAGTCCATCTTTACCCGCTCCTATGTCCACAAACGCTCCAAAATGGGTGATATTTCTTATCGCGCCTGTTACTGACATCCCCGCGCTTAAGTTATTAATACTGAGCAAACTCTTTCGAAAAAGCGGAGCACGAGACTCTAACCGTATATCCTCGTTCTTCTTCATAGATAAACCCTTAACTATCACCTCCATGGTCGCCTCATTTGTGCCAAACTTTCGGGCCAAACTATCGAATCCTTCCTCAGCACACGATTTTACTTTCTGAATGAATTCTGTAGTTCCGAGATTTTCCAAATTGCAATTACAATGCTTTAAGAAACTTTCGGCTATTTTGTATGATTCAGGATGAATCCAAGTTTGATCCAATAAACTGTACGTTTGCTTAGACTTCTTAACAGATTTACGTTTCTCGGTATTATCATTCATTGAAGTCTCTGGCAATATCCTAATGAAGCCAGCACATTGTTCGAATACTTTGTTCCCAATTCCCTTCACGTCCAACAGTTGTTGTCTATTTTTAAACGGTCCAAATTCAGATCTCCATTCTATAATATTATTTGCTCTGGATACGTTCAAGCCAGCAATCCTTTTCAAAAGGCACTGGGACGCAGTGTTCACATCTACACCTACAAAGCTCACAACCTCTGAAACAGCCTGCAATCATTTTTATATAATTTTTCGAATTAATTCACTAATTAATTATTTTATCTATCTTAGATCCATCTTAGTTTTACACTCACCTCGTTTAATGCTGTTAACAACTGTTTCTCTGGCAGATCATGCTGATACATTCCCACACCTAAATGTTTAGGCTCTATTTTTACTAATTCAGCAAGTGGATCTTGTAGACGTCTTGCTATTGAAATGGCAGAGATTAAGTTCGCGTCGAGATCCTGGAATTCAGATTTTGCTTCCGAGCTACAACTGTAAATCGATGCTCCGGCTTCGTCGACAATCGTGTACGAAACTTCGATCGGGCCAAATGCATTCGACTTAATTAACTTGTTTAAAAACATTTCAGTCTCTCTGCAAGCTGTAGCATTACCTAATGCCAAAATCGTGGCCTTGTACTTGGTCACCAAATTCACCAAAATATCGGCAGATTCATTGTGAAACTTCTGTGAGTTTCTATGTGGATAAATCACGCCTGTTTCAAGTACGTCCCCCTGCTCGGAAATTATCGCTAATTTACAACCATGTGAAAATCCTGGATCTATGCCGAGTATGATTTTCCCTCGCAGAGGTGCAGTGAGAAGCAACTGTTTCACGTTAGTTACGAAAACTTCAATCGATGCTGTTTCCGCTTTTTGCTTTAGTTCGCTTTTCAGTCTACGTATTACCAAGGGCTTGATAAATTTTGTATAAGCATAATCAATGCCCTCATTTAATAATTTAGAATGTAATTTAGACGCTGCAATGGCTGAATTATACAGTTTGTAGCAACATGCTTTAAATGCTTTTTCAAAAAAATCAGGAAGTATCATTTTCACACTAAGAATCTTTTGTGCTTCCCCACGATTGATAGCTAGTATCTGATGAGGTTTGATGTATTTCGTATTTGTATTAAAATTATAGTACGTTTCATACTTCCTATGCAAGTCCTTCTCTTTGCTCTCTGATATATTATTGGATTTACTATTGGATTTACTATTGGCTTTACATTCTACAGTCTGGATATTTATAGAACATCCTGTTTGAAGCTCTTTGACTTTATCAAATACAATTTTATTCTTATTTATAACATCTGCTATAATGTGTACAATTCCATCTACAATCTGCCGCTCAGTTTTTAATCCATCTTTGTTAGGATCAATAAGAGAAGACAATGAAGGGAGTGTCTGACCCTGTAACACAAGATCACTTACAGGACCTAAACCTAGATCTTTTGCTCTTTCTGCCAAAGTTCGTTTAGATGCTGGCTTGAAAAGAGAATATATGTGTTCTAAGTCATCTAGAGATTTGGCAGATATAATGACAGAATGTACAGCAGGAGACCATTGCCCTAATTTATCAATAGATCTCAATATAGTACTGGCACGTTGTTTAATCACTTTGGCACGATCAAGACTCTCTTTCAATGCTCTCAGCTTATCTGGATCCATCCCACCGGTCATGTTCCTCCTATACCTTGCGATAAACGGAATTGTATTGTCATTGTTGAAAAGCTTTGTAACATTTTCTACTATAGGCTTCTCAACATTGTTGATTTCGCTCACATAGTCTTCAATAGTCCATTCTTTAAATTCTGCAGAATTTAAAGATATATCCTTTAACATTTGTTTAACATCTTTTGCATCAGAGTTTTTTTGTACTTCTTCCTTTTTCACTCTCTTACTCTTACTCTGTGTCTTCTTTTTTAAATCTACCAAATCATTCGTACCATATATAGGTTCTGCTTTTATTATTTCCTCTTTAAGTTGTGTTGCTGTTCGTTTATTGTTTTTGGGTAATGAAAGGGTACTAGCTTTTCTCTTATTGCCATTTGTACTTATCTTTTTCTTTGGTGCTTTGATGGGAATGTAATTTTCATCTTCGGATTCATTCTCAGAATCACTTGAAGAGATAATTATTTTGTGTGCTTTGGATATTTGCCGTATGCTTCTTTTCATTATAGAATCTGCTACACGTATTTGTTATTAATATTTAAGCTCCTTAGAAAAAGAGCATGGAATATTAAAATTGAAAAAAAACTGAAAAATACAAGATTAATTGTTAAATGTGCAAAATATATTTATTTTCATTCATATTGTATAATCGTGGTTTTACATTTATGTTATTTAACTGTGTTTCATATAATAATAGAACTATAGTAAATTATTGCAATTCTATTAAATAAATAATCATCAAGAATTAAGTGTATTTTCCGAACGTCGACTAACCTCCAAAAACGTGCCTTAAACAGGCCTTAAACTAAGATTCTTTACGAGGTCGTGTAACCAAACATTTCAATATTTTTTAAGATATTTAAACTACAAAAATTACAAATAACATTATGAAATTATAACAAATAATTTTTGAAATTTTTCAAATATTAAATTTCATACACAGATGTAATATAAGATTTCTTCGTATACATATTTTGTTATTTCATCTGTAAATTAATTAGCAACTTTGTATTTATAAAAACTTGACAATTATTTTTTTCTTTTTAAAGCTTCTTCTGTTAATAAATTTTTCCAAAGATTACATGCAATTTGCATTTCTGTAATATTAAAAACGTACGAATGAATACGAGTATAATGATAAGTAATGCTGAGGTAAAATCATTAATTTCCACATTGTAAATTTTTATACAACTTATGCAAAAATATGAACAGTATACAATGGCAGAGAAATTTCGATCGTTAATTAAAGTAGTGAGCAACGAGATAAATAAACATCGATTGTTTAATGATGCAACTGCAAGAATTAGTAGCATCACTGGAAAGGCACAGGAAAAATTGAACAGTATGCAAAGTGCTGTTACTTCAAAGTATAATGTTCTTACAAAGGTATTTAAGCGTTAGAAGTTAATAATACATGTTTGGATGTTACTTAAATTTATTTATTTTAGCAAATCAGCAATGACTTAACGTTAATTCAGAACGTGAATGCACCACAATTAGCACCAAGTCCATTACCAAAGAAAGTCATTATATGGTGGCAATGGTATCAACAATTAACAGGTTTGGACAAAGTTGAAATAACTAAGCAACAAGTAATTTTTGCACAAGACAAGCTGTTCAAATGTCAGGATGAGAGAAGACAGTTGAATCGTGAAGCAATGATAATTAACGACAAGTTGAAGGAAATATACTCAGAGCTTATCCAAATTAAAAGAGATGATCCGAAGTATGTTCAACTGACAATAGTGGAAAATAAAAGTCTTCAAGATCAGGCAAGAATCATGTCACAGCTTAATTTATTAGAGAAGGAGGAAAAAGATCATTTTACATTGTTAGCAACTGCTATTAAAGAGTATCATGATAGTCAAACAACAAGTGCACAAAATTATAAATACTTATCTATTATTGCATCTGCTGTATTAGCAATTATATCGTTGACAGGGTCAATAATATATAACAATAGACGAGTAGCTAATATACAAAATGCTTTATCCGAGGCGCAACAAAAAAATGAAAATGTGCTCAGAAGTAATTTGTTATCATTAGAAAATAGTTTGAATTCAATTCGTAAGGTAATAGAAAAGAGTAACGAGCCAAAAGTAGTTTTAGTGAATAAAGAGTTAACAGAATTACAAAAAGCTTGTATTGTATTTGGAGCATGTATTGCTGGCATATACATATTGAGGTCAATAATTGGTTAAAAATCATCACGCAATTCGTAATAATGAATAACTAAAAAATTAATAATATCATTTTATTTGGAATCATTTTTTAGTAACAGGCATTTAATTATTTGTAAATGTTTTATAAATAAATGTATAATACATGTATATATTTTATTAAACAATAAAGTAAAGAATGCATTAATATATGTATCTAACTGTGTTTGTCATTGTATAATTTAGCTGAATTATTCTTTATAATAAGAAACACAGAGATTATAATATTTCCAGAAAAATACACACATATATTTCACAAACTGGACAAATACAATTGTTTAACTAGTTTTATTTTCAATAAATCGTCAATCATCTATTAATGATTTTCATAAAGATGAAGTGAAATTATTACTTGTCAAATACAGTAAGCAAATTTTAATTGTCTGTTCTACGTACTCCAGGATTTCCATTCCATACCATCTGGTAATTTTACCTCAACTTTACCTTTGCTTACTTCTGACCAATTCGTGCTCAATACTGTACCACCGGATTCTTGCTATTTTCAGAAACATTATCAATATTAAAACCAATACAATATACTTTTGTCATATATCTTTTTTTCTTTAGAAAAAACACTCACAAAAGATTTGTTCATTGCACGTCTGACTTCGTCGGAGCCGCTGCCATATATCTGTTGGAACAAAGCATAGAGAGCAGCTTCTCCCACTGGCTTTTCTTCTGCTTCTTGCTTCTCTATCTCTTTCTCTACTTTATCCCAGTCTCGCGGTTTTTTCCCAGTCCCAGGATTCTTTTCTGGTTGAGTTCCAGTTTGTAAAATTTCTTAAAAAATCAAACTTTTCAGTATTGTAGACAAAGGAAAGTATCTCTATATACCATCTGCAGCTTTGATTTACCTCGAGGTATAGGTTGCACCGTGTTTTGTGCAACCGGATTTCCTTCCAATGTGGTCCACGTAATTCCATCTTGTTTTTTCAATTTAATTTCTATTTTAGATGGATCAACTTTATGAGTAGATAGATCTGGCACTATTGCGTGAGCTAAATCTAACTCCAAGCTATATTCATTGCCCGATGGTAACTGGGCAGACACACTTAACTAAAAGCAAGCAGAGGATAAAACTCTACAATTGACATCAGCTAACGGTACAACTGTTTTCATGTAAATACATGAAATGTCATGAGTGACAAATGTTGCAAAATATATAGTAATTTAAAAACAAAAAAAAAAAGAAAAATTACGTTATAATTTCTATACGATTGAAAATGGGATATTTACCGTATTTTTCTCGTAAACGACTTTGACATTTTGTGCACTTTTAGCAAGAATCGGGACTATGACATGACTTTCCGTTTGATACCAATCATGTCTTATTTTTGGAACTGGCATCTACAAAAGTTAATAATTTTCACATTATGCATAAAGTAATGGGTGCGTTGCCGTTTGTGTAATTTAACAATATTCGACTGCGTTTCTTACCTCATTGTTATTCACCGCAATTGGAGTTTCTTCGTTACCCATTAGATTGACTATTCTCTTTTAAACATCAAACGTAAATCATCGGAAGACTTGACACAACATTCACGTACAGCGTACTTCTCGAAAGTTCATATAGACAATACAAAACAGGAGCGTAGTAAGAAAGATACCGATATTGTATATCATATAGGGAGCAAATTATAAAGTGCACATGTACCTTTTCGGTTCAGAAAAATTAACAGAACATAACATTACTAGTAATATTAATTATATATTATATTTATATATTATATTATATTTCGATAATATTAAATTTATTATATTATTAAATTATTGCTTACAATATTAAATTACAATACAATACTACAATTACAATATTAAAATATATTTTAATAATATTAAAAATTTAAATAATATCCGAGCACTAATTATCTGATAACAAAACTTAATTAAAATAATTTAATGAAAATAATTTTTATGAAAATAATTTAATTAATATAAAAATATATCTCCCGTAAGTTCTGAAATTGTTCAATATTTATAGGAAGCAAAACTTTTTTGTTCAATTAATTTTGTCAATAAAAATATTGAAAACAGATCATAATAAAGAAAAGATATAGGTTATATTCTGAAACGAGTTTATATTCTTCTGTGAACTTACTTGGAAATTCAACCAAATGTTTTGACTTCCGGTAAGATCGCAAGAGATATAACTTCCGGGGGCGCTTCAGTGTCATGCGAGTGTTTCAAGATCCAGTTGTATACAAATTTGTATATATTTGAGATATAAAAGCCAAAGTTAAATAGCAATCGAGGACCATGAAAGTGATCAAGGGGATTATCGAAGATGTGATTGTAGAACCATCCAAAGTTCAACCAATTATTGGTAATTATATTTTTGTTTCTTTGTTTCAAGATATTCTTTCATTTGAGCAAACTCGTGCTTGAATCTTTTTTAAAAAATAATTGAATCGTGAAATTATACTCTTATATAATTCACATGCTTCTTATAATTACAATTGCTATTTGTTCTAAAGTGAAGAAGCAACTCTTACAACTTGTTGATTTCTAGTATCATATATCATACTCATTTTTAGATGGTATGTAATACGTAACTCATATATAACTGTTTTATAGTTAATTTTCAAAACGGTGAACTAAAAGATGATGAGGCTAAAAACATGTCCTGTGGACTGTTCTATGATCAAAACAAGAAGAAGACAGTGCTTGCTTTATCGAATGGAGAGATTGTTTATAGAGGTTATAAACCAGACACTAACGAGGACCCTATGTGTACTATGCTCGTTCTTCATAATAAAAGAACAGGGAAAGTGAGATTGGTTCAGATCGAACGTTGGCAAGTAGCACCAGTTTTAGAAAAGCCAGCAATAAAAGACACCAACAGTGCAGTAAATGATACAGTTGCTACATTGAACAAAGAGTTTGGATCGAAGAAGGCAAAAAGAAGGACAGAGCAATATGAAAAGCTAAAGGTGAATGTAGAGTCTGTTAAAGAGCAACTTGAACAAACTGTATCTAGTAAGTATTACTTTTATAATGAAATATATTCTATAATGAAATACGTGTGATTTTATATTCTATAATGAAATACTGGTGATTTTATATTAATTTCTTTTTAAAAAGAACAGAGTTGAAGTTTATTCTTATTACAGATGTTGAAATCGAGAGGACGGAATTGTCAGCACAATTGCCAGATAACGAATGTATCACAAATACTACTTTGCCGGGCTGTAATAGAAATGCAACTGATGTGAATGATGTGTACAATGTATATGATATTGTGCCAGAAAATAAATTGGAAACTTTATATGACAATGCGGCAGAAATTTTAAATGACAGTTCAAATAGGAAAGAAAAGTTTGTTTCAAAAAGTTATTATTTTTTCGTTATTGTTATTTATTAGATACTGATTGTACATTTATTGCTTTTTCTAGAAATTCAAAATTCTTTACCCAAATATTAAAAAATTTGAAATCTGATCCAAACAGTATTAAAAAAACTGTATTGTTAATTTATATTCAAGCAGTTGCAATATGGTTAAGCATGCCAATCAAAGATGCCAAAAGACGTGGTACTGGAGTTTGCTTAGCTTCTCAAGAAATTAATTCACATATAATAGACACATACAGTGTTCAAAGTAATCATGGAAGGTATATATAAGAAATATGTAGTAATATAATAAATAATGCATAATAAAAATGTAAAAACTAATTTTAAATACTTTATAGGACAAGACCAACTAGTATAAAAGATAAAGGAGTGATACATTGTATGATTTTGGCACTAATGATTTGTAACTTTACATTAGATTTGGAATTATTTGCGACGTTATTCACTCATCGGACAGGTTTAAAAAAATTGACAGACCTTGCCAAAATTATTGGTGCTTTACCTAACAAAGAAGACAAGAAATTCATCACTTTGAAAGTTCCATTGCCAACGCCGGCATCTCTTGTAAAAAAGGGAAAGAGGAAATTATAAGATGGGTATTGTAACAAATTTTCTGTAAAATTTTATAAATAAATTACATTCAATATCTGTTAATTTTGTATAAACCGAAAATAAATGTATAATATATTTGAATAAGTATTCTTTTCTTATAGTTTGGCAGTCCTTACTATTTTAATGCTTCAGCCTCTCCGTATTAGAATCCTCTCACTTTTCCGAAATATTTCCGTAACCTGTCCAGAAAGATACGAATTTCAGTTTCAATGATCGATGAAAATTATGAAAATTGAAAAGAAGAAAACAAGCCGATGATTTCGGCGGTTAAAGCAAAAAAAGAAGAAAGTTAATTTAAAAAAGTAAGGTAAAGAGAGAAGTAGGTAGATAATAATTACATTCAGATAATGAGCTGATATTTTAAAGGAGAAAGAGGTAGAAAAGGGATTTAAATTGATAATTAAACACATTTTAACATGATCCTAGAACATCTAGCTTGCTTTAACGGAGGGTAAGGTTGGCACGTTGAAGAAACTGGCACGTTGGCCGGCCCTGAGTAACTCCCCGTAATGTGGGTCGTCGTCTAACTGTTCCACGTACCGTTCCGCCGACTCTGCTGTCCATTAGTCAGATTCACGATTACTCCTTCTCTTTCTTACCTCCACCATCTGATAGCCGCAAACACATGGTGGAGCATCTCACCTCTTCTCTTCCTTCCTTATTCTATCGACACCTATCTTTCTACAATCAATACATACTGAGAAAACCTTAGAAAGTTTGTCCTTAGAAAGTTTCTCCTGAATGTATTTTTTGATAAAAAGAAGAATTCGATTTTTTTGTTTGATATGTATTATTGATATATTTCTCATCAATGATAATAATGAATCTTTGATTAATTTTAGGAAAGTTCAAGAACGGCGATATATTATTAGAATTCAACAAAGTTAATGGACAAATATCAAAACAAGAAAGCAGGATTGTTTATACATGAAAATTAAAGTACATCTATCTCGAAAAAAAAAATCTATATTTAAAATCGATATTTAACTATGCAAAGAATGTAAGAAAATTTATATTTTTTTACTAATTACAAAGTCTTAGCGATTTTAATTTTTGTTGATAACCGAGGACAGAATTTTTCGTAAAATTTAGACACCAAAAGATCATTATAAAATTTCTGAATATCGAAATCATTAAAATTCAGTAAACCATTGTACTTTCATTTCAACAGGAGACTCTTTTCCTTCTCTTGTTCCTTCTCTGAACCTTCGTCTTACTCTACGACATTTTGTCCACGTTCCTCTGAAGTTCCACCTCTTCGTCTCACTGCTACCACTTGTGTCGTCTTCCTGCTATCACCTGGCTGTTGAGGTACTTCAGTCGACGTGTGACCCTCTACCAGGGCTGCAAGTTTTCATGGTTTCGTTGCACGTTTTATTCACCTTCGTCGCAATCCCTGATTGCTTTTCTCGTGATCAAAAAAACTAAAAGTGACAGACCTAAGCGTAATTAGAGTTGGAGTACATGGAGCTTTAAGTGGAAAGTCTGAAGGTCTTTTGGGACTACTGGAGAACGTCCACATTCATCTCACCACTGGATACAGGTAGTTTTTTCTGCATTGTGTTATAGTGAAATAGATTAACAGAAATTATGTCTTTTATTCTTTAAAATTAATTTCTTCTTTCTAAATATGTTTGTTTAATTAATTCTTAAGATTTGGGAAGTAACATATATATTTTTATTTTCACAAATAGAACAAATTAGTAGAAATAATTATACTAGTTATAATGAAAAAATTGATTAATCAAATAATAATAAATTACAAAACAGATTACATTAAATAATGACGAAACAAACAAGTTCTTCTGTGAAATATTAACTCTTTGACTTTGTATTTGAGTATTGATAATCTCATAATTAATAATAAAATAATTAAAGATTCAGAGAGGATAATATATTGAATAAATATACCAGAAAGTATACGTTTAAAGACGAATGCATTCTTGATTTGTTATATGTTCCCCAATTCAATATTAAACTTTGATCATTTTTAACATTCAAAGAATTAATTAAATTATAACATAAAATATTCAAAGAATTAATTAAATTATATCAGTTAAATAGCACTAGTATTGGATTAGAATATATGTATATTCCGCAATCGCGATACCGTTATAATTAGGTCGAATTTATGCTGTATTAAAAGTTTGAAACCGTTCTACAGAGGAACGTGAATGCATATGATAAGCACTACGTTGAAACGCGTCAAAAACTGAGTCTGGAACCGGTTACTGCGTTTGCAAACGATTCAATTAAAAAAACAAAGGAAGTCCATTTAAAAATGGAAAAGTTTCTAGTTTAATCATCTTCCTTAGTATAATAATTCCAGTTGTTAACGAAGATATAATTCGGGGGAAAAAAAATAAAAGTTTCTTTAACACTAAACGTACCGGCATTTTACATATACCTATCTTACCATAA